AATAGGATTCGAACCCACGCCCACATACGTGACCAGAAGCCTCGTTCAACCCGCATCACTGAGCAAGGTTTCCCTTCAGTCGGGCGCCTTAGACCACTCGGCCATTCTGATACGATATATCAGCCCCAGCAAAAGAAAAAAACTGACTTATGCTCGTTGTAAAGTAAAAAAGAAGAGTTTGTCTGAAGTGGGATTTGAACCCACGCCCACCCACCTGGACCAAAAGCCTCGTTCAACCCGCATCACTGAGCAAGGTTTCCCTTAAGTGTGGCGCCTTCGACCACTCGGCCATTCGTCACGATATTCAGCCCAGCAAAAGGAGACACTGACTTTGTGCTGGTAGTAAAGTAAAAAAATTGAGGGAAGTGAGATTCGAACCCACGCACATACGTGGACCAGAAGCCTCGTTCAACTCGCATCACCGCGCAAGGTTTCCCTTCAGTCGGGCGCCTTAGACCACTCGGCCATTCTGATACGATATATCAGCCCCAGCAAAAGGAGTCACTGACTTTGTTCTTGTCGTAAAATAAGGAAAGTTTGTCAGAAGTAGGATTCAAACCCACGCCATCATACGTGGACCAGAAGCCTCATTCAACCCGTATCACTGCGCAAGGTTTACCTTGAGTCTGGCGCCTTAGACCACTCGGTCATTCTGACACAATATTTCAGCCCAGCAAAAGGAGACACTGGCTTTGTTCTGGTAGTAAAGTAAAAAAAAGTTGTGAGAATAGGATTCGAACCCACGCCCACATACGTGGACCAGAAGCCTCGTTCAACCCGTATCACTGGGCAAGGTTTCCCTTGAGTCTGGAGCCTTAGACCACTCGGCCATTCTGACACGATATTTCAGCCCCAGCAAAAGAGACACTGACTTTGTGCTGGTAGTAAAGTAAAAAAAAAGAGCTTCTCAGAAGTGGGATTTGAACCCACGCCACATACGTAAACCAGAAGCCTCGTTCAACAACCCGTATCACTGGGCAAGGTTTCCTTGAGTCTGGAGCCTTAGACCACTCGGCATTATGATACGATATGTCAGCCCGCAAAAGAAGACGCTGACGCTGTGCGGTAGTAAAGTAAAAAGAATGACGGAAGTGAGATTAGAAACCAGCACACATCCGGGATCAGAAAGCTCGTTCAACTCGCATCACCGAGCAGGTTCACTTCAGTCTGGCGCCTTAGACCACTCGGCCATTCCGGATACAATAATCAAGCCCCAGCAAACGGAGACACTGACTTTGTTCTGTTAGTGAAGTAAAAACAGTTTGCAGAATGGGATTCGAACCCGCCCACATAAGTGGACAGAAGCCTCGTTCAAAACCGTATCACTGGCCCGGTTCCCTTGAGTCTGGCGCCTTAGACCACTCGCCATTCGACACGTATACCAGCCCCAGCAAAAGAAGACACTGACCTTCTTGCTGGCTAGTTAAAAGTAAAAAAAGTTTGTCAGAAGTGGGACTTCCGAACCCACGCACACATACGTGGACCAGAAGCCTCGTTAAAACTCGTATCACGGGGCAAGGTTTCCCTTAAGTCTGGCGCCTTCGACCACTCGGCCATTCTGACACAATATTTCAGCCCAGCAAAAGGAGACACTGACTTTGTTCTGGTAGTAAAGTAAAAAAAAGTTTGTCAGAATAGGATTCGAACCCACGCCCACATACGTCGACCACAAACCTCGTTCAACTCGCATCACCGAGCAAGGTTTCCCTTCCGTCTGGCGCCTTAGACCACTCGGCCATTCTGACACGATATTTGAGCCCCAGCAAAAGGAGACACTGACTTTGTGCTGGTAGTAAAGTAAAAAAAAGCTTCTCAGAAGTGGGATTTGAACCCACGCCCACATAGGTAGACCAGAAGCCTCGTTCAACTCGTATCACTGGGCAAGGTTTCCCTTATGTCTGGCGCCTTGGACAACTCGGCCATTCTGACACGATATTTCAGCCAAGCAAAAGGAGACACTGACTTTCTTCTGGTAGTAAAGTAAAAAAAATTGTCAGAAGTGGGATTCGAACCCACGCACACATACGTGGACCAGAAGCCTCGTTCAACTCGTATCACTGGGCAAGGTTTCCCTTGAATCTGGCGCCTTAGACCACGCGGCCATTCTGATACAATATGTCAGCCCCAGTAAAAGAAGACGCTGACTCTGTGCTGGTAGTAAAGTAAAAAAAATTGACAGAAGTGGGATTCGAACCCACGCACACATACGTGGACCAGAAGCCTCGTTCACTCGTATCACTGGGCAAGGTTTCCCTTGCGTCTGGCGCCTTAGACCACTCGGCCATTCTGATACGATATATCAGCCCCAGCAAAAGAAAAAACTGACTTTATGCTCGTAGTAAAGTAAAAAAGAAGAGTTTGTCTGAAGTGGGATTTGAACCCACGCCCACACACCTGGACCAGAAGCCTCGTTCAATCCGTATCACTGAGCAAGGTTTCCCTTAAGTCTGGCGCCTTCGACCACTCGGCCATTCTGTCACGATATATCAGCCCCAGCAAAAAACACTGACTTTATGCTGGTAGTAAAGTAAAAAAAAAGATTGTCAGAAGTTGGATTCGAACCCACGCCCACATACGTGGACCAGAAGCCTCGTTTAACCCGTATCACCGGGCAATGTTTCCCTTGAGTCTAGCGCCTTCGACCACTCGGCCATTCTGACACAATATTTCAGCCCAGCAAAAGGAGACACTGACTTTGTGCTGGTAGTAAATTAAAAAAAATTTACAGAAGTGAGATTCGAACCCACGCACACATACGTGGACCAGAAGCCTCGTTCAACTCGCATCACCGCGCAAGGTTTCCCTTCAGTCTGGCGCCTTAGACCACTCGGCCATTCTGATACGATATATCAGCCCCAGCAAAAGGAGACACTGACTTTGTTCTTGTAGTAAAATAAAAAAAGTTTGTCAGAAGTAGGATTCAAACCCACGCCGTCATACGTGGACCAGAAGCCTCATTCAACCCGTATCACTGCGCAAGGTTTACCTTGAGTCTGGCGCCTTAGACCACTCGGTCATTCTGACACAATATTTCAGCCCAGCAAAAGGAGACACTGGCTTTGTTCTGGTAGTAAAGTAAAAAAAAAGTTGTGAGAATAGGATTCGAACCCACGCCCACATACGTGGACCAGAAGCCTCGTTCAACCCGTATCACTGGGCAAGGTTTCCCTTGAGTCTGGAGCCTTAGACCACTCGGCCATTCTGACACGATATTTCAGCCCCAGCAAAAAGAGACACTGACTTTGTGCTGGTAGTAAAGTAAAAAAAGAGCTTCTCAGAAGTGGGATTTGAACCCACGCCCACATACGTAGACCAGAAGCCTCGTTCAACCCGTATCACTGGGCAAGGTTTCCATTGAGTCTAGCGCCTTCGACCACTCGGCCATTCTGACACAATATTTCAGCCCAGCAAAAGGAGACACTGACTTTCTTCTTGTAGTAAAATAAAAAAAGTTTGTCAAAAGTGGGATTCGAACCCACGCCCTCATATGTGGACCAGAAGCCTCGTTCAACCCGTATCACTGCGCAAGGTTTACCTTGTGTCTGGCGCCTTAGACCACTCGGCCATTCTGATACGATATGTCAGCCTCAGCAAAAGAAGACGCTGACTCTGTGCTGGTAGTAAAGTAAAAAAAGTTTGTCAGAAGTGGGATTCGAACCCACGCCCACATACGTGGACCAGAAGCCTCGTTCAACCCGTATCACTGGGCAAGGTTTCCCTTGAGTCTGGCGCCTTAGACCACTTGGCCATTCTGATACATATCAGCCCCAGCAAAAGGAGACACTGACTTTGTGCTGGTAGTAAAGTAAAAAAAAGCTTCTCAGAAGTGGGATTTGAACCCACGCCCACATAGGTAGACCAGAAGCCTCGTTCAACCCGTATCACTGGGCAAGGTTTCCCTTAAGTCTGGTGCCTTGGACAACTCGGCCATTCTGACACGATATTTCAGCCCAGCAAAAGGAGACACTGACTTTCTTCTGGTAGTAAAGTAAAAAAAATTGTCAGAAGTGGGATTCGAACCCACGCCCACATACGTGGACCAGAAGGCTCGGTTTAACCCGTATCACCGGGCAATGTTTCCCTTAAGTCTAGCGCCTTAGACCACGCGGCCATTCTGATACAATATGTCAGCCCCAGTAAAAGAAGACGCTGACTCTGTGCTGGCAGTAAAGTAAAAAAAAATTGACGGAAGTGAGAATCGAACCCAGGCACACATACTTGGACCAGAAGCCTCGTTACACTCGTATCACTGGGCACGGTTTCCCTTAAGTCGGGCGCCTTTGACCACTCGGCCATTCTGACACAACATTTCAGCCCAGCAAAAGGAGACACTGACTTTTTCTGGTAGTAAAGTAGAAAAAAGTTTGTGAGAATAGGGTTCGAACCCACGCCCACATACGTGGACCAGAAGCCTCGTTCAACCCGTATCACTGGGCAAGGTTTCCCTTGAGTCTGGAGCCTTAGACCACTCGGCCATTCTGACACGATATTTCAGCCCCAGCAAAAGGAGACACTGACTTTGTGCTGGTAGTAAAGTAAAAAATTGACGGAAGTGAGATTCGAACCCCACGCACACATACGTGGACCAGAAGCCTCGTTCAACTCGCATCACCGCGCAAGGTTTTTTTTATTTTTTATTTATTTTCAATACTGCTACTCTCATTCGAGAGCGTGGCAGTTGGGCAGTACAATGATTTTCAGTACAGGCAATAAAAATAGAGGGAAAAAAAAAAAAATCAAAGCAAAACAAGTGAGTTAAAACATACACTAACATTTGTAGCGTAATTACAGCATATGTGGGTTACAAAAAAAAAAAAAAAAAAAAAAAAAAAAACAAGAAGCACGATATATACAGCATACAGTAAGGCAAACAAAATGCTGGTTAAGGAACAGCATACTCAGTGGAATTTACACAAAAACGCCTAACACATGCTAGGTTCAAGGGAAATGACAAAAAAGCAAAAAGAAGGAACATGAGGCTTCGCAAAAAGTGACCAAAGAAAATAATAATAGTACAGGTGTCGGTGGGGGCTGGAATAAGACTAGGGTAAATAAGATTACATTTCTGGCATTGAGCAATAAGTTGACGTAAATGGGAAAGTTTCTAGAAGATGAAATGAAGAAATCTATGTTGGTGACTTTGCATACATAGGTCCTCTTACGCAAACACATTTTTTTCTATTTGTGCCATAAATTCCGATAGTGATTCGATGTTGGTGATAGTAGCGTCAAGTTGATTCCATTCTGATATTGCGAGCGGAAAAAAAGAATACTTAAACGTGTCATTTTTACATGCATATTCTGTCAATGTGTGCGCATGCTTATTACGTGTAGGTCGAGCCTGGGAAAACGAAATATACTTAGAAATATCTATTCGATAGTTATTTTTCAGTAACTGAAATAAGAATTTTAGGCGAGCGTGTTTCGCTCTTGTGGATAGCTTTTGCAAACCGGATTTCATTAAAAGATGCGTGGGCGAGTCTGTGCGTTTATATTTATTATGAATGAACCTCACCGCTTTTCTTTGTATTGATTCAAGTTTTTTTATGTTAGTCACTGTATGCGGAAACCAGACTGTGTTAGCGTATTCTAGAACAGGCCTTACAAATGATGTGTAGGCTAGCAGCTTCGTTGCCGTTGTTGCGTGTGCTAGGCTTCTTTTTAAGAAAAATAGCTTCCGTAGCGCCTTTGAGATTATTTTACTTATATGCTTGTCCCACTTGAGATCCGATGTTATTGTGACGCCTAGATATTTATGTTCATCAACCCTATTAAGGGGGGTGCTATTAATTACGTATGTGAAGGTGGATGGTAGTGCTTTCCTGGTCACAGTCATGATCGCAGACTTTTGTACGTTGAGTGTCATCTGCCAACTAGAGCACCAATTAGCTATATCAGCTAGAGAATCATTCAGCTCATTATGATCACTGTAATGACTAATTTCTTTGTAAATGACACAGTCATCTGCGAATAGCTTTATATTGCATTTGATGTTAGCTGCGATATCGTTAATATAGAGCAAGAAGAGCAATGGTCCGAGGACAGACCCTTGTGGGACTCCGGATGTAACTGCGACTGTGTTAGATAACGTATGTTCGTAAATTACAAATTGCGAGCGGTTATTTAAGAAGCATTTTACCCAGCCAGAAAGTTCTCCTATACCAAAAACATCTTCAACTTTGGCGATTAATTTGCTATGACACACACAGTCGAAAGCCTTAGATAAGTCAAGTAAAATCATGTCAGTTTGACCACGGTTATTAATTGTAGCAGCGAGGTTGTGTACTAGTTCTGTGAGCTGAGTAACTGTGGATAAGCCACTGCGAAAACCATGTTGGTTGGGGGAAAAAAAATTAATGCGCTCTAGGAATACTGTCATGTGCTTTAAGATTATGTGTTCGAGAAGTTTACATGATGTACTAGTTAGAGAAATGGGCCTGAAATTTGAAGGTGAAGTCTGCGTCTCCCTCCTTTGTGGATTGGTTTTATCTTGGCTATTTTCCATTCTTGAGGTAGCTGTGAAGTACTGAGTGATTTCCGGAAAATTAGGCCTAGGTATCTAC